GGAGGCTGACGCTCAGGTGAAGGGGCCTCAGCCACCAGGTGGGCAGGGCTTCTGGGGAACTTGCCCAGCCTGAGGAGCTCCGGGCCAGCTGTTGTCCTGTTCCCTCACAGATTGCTGAGGAGCGGAAGAAGACGCAGCTCGAGGAGGTGGCCCTAGAAAGCACACTGAAAACAAGCCAGCCCAAGCCAGGGAGCCAGGGCCCCCAGACGTACCGCCAGGGGGTGGGCAAGTACATCAACCCGGCAGCCACGTGAGTGGAGCGAGGGCTGTTGTCCCGTTTTGCATGGTGCTCTCCAAGCTTACCAGTGCCCACGGGTCAGAACCCACCAGTGGTGAGGACAAGCAGGGGCCATGGGGGCCACTGCGCAGGCTGGGGATTGAGGACTTGGGGCTGGGGGTACATGGCTGTGTGACATCACGCTGAGGGGAGCCGTGGGAGGGTTTGGGCCCCCAGCTCCAGGAATTGGTACACAGCAGCTAGAGTGGTTCTTCTCTTTCTAGGAAACGTGTAGCAGAGGAAGAGCCCTCAACCAGTGCAGTTGTCCCTGTAGCCAAGAAAAAACCCAGCCAAGGTTTTGGGGACTTCAGCTCATGGTAGCAGCAGGTCTGTCACTCTGGATCCCCATAGGGACTCAGGGCTGGGGACCTGTATCCACACCACAGAGTTTTCTGTCCTCCTGACTACAGCTCACTAGAGCTCTTGCTTGTTCCCCTTTCCTGGCCCCTGGGCCTTCCCAACCTTCACTTGGTACAGTGGCCTGGCCCTGTTTCCAGGCCTGAGCCTACCTAGAACCCTCGACCTGGACCACCAGGCGTGGGCTGTGGCCCTTAGACCAGCCTGCAGCACGGGTCTGAGACAGGGAGGAAGGCTGTGTCCTGACTCTGGCCTTCCTCCCTTCCCCACCCCACTTCAGTCATTTTGTCTGAGACTGTTTACTCAGTGTATCACCTGGGACCTGGTTAGAAACAGAGTCTCAGACTTCGGATCTTCTGATTGGGAGACTCTGGGGGCAGGGTTCGGCATCCAAACCTTGGGGGGCCCCTGCTGCCGGTGGCTTGAGGATGCTAGACTAGAGCCTTGACATCAGTTTCTAAAACCTCTTCTGCTGCCTTATACCTGGGCTTACTGAGGCCCACCCAACAAGGACCATGGGTGGTCACAGCTATGTTCCCCCGAGGGCCACACCCAGGACTGCCCACCTCTCCGGCTCAGGACAGGACCAGGACCACACATGGGAGAAGCCAGCCAGCGCCTGCTGTTACCAATGGATGTGCCAAAGGCCGCAGAGAGCTGGTGGGCCCCCTGGCCCCCTGCCTCCCCACATGCTCACTTGACCCCCAGCCCTAGCACCAGAGCTTCTAGGCCAGCCTCACCAGCGTTTCCAGACTTAAAAATCCCTTAACTCTATTTTTCTATAAATGTCTTTTAAAAAACATACTTGCTTGCCTGCCCACCCTTTTTTTTTCATTCCATAGCCTGTGCCAGCCTGGTTTCCATGCTTCTGACCTTGACACGGCTACCTCGGCCTTCCCAAAGTGCCTCTGCAGAAGGGTGGGGACAGCTGCCGCCTCCCACTGTCTGTCTCCTTTGGCCCCAAGGCTGTCCACTCCTCACACCCACTCCTAAGGCCTATGGTCTAAAGGTCAGCACAGGCCACCACTCTTTCCAGCTTGTCCTTGGTTCTTCCCCTCACCCAAACTTCAAATTCCAGAACATGCCGGGGGGCTCTTCTTTTTCCATCTCTGATGCTGAACCCCAGGTCTAAGCCCCTTATCTCTCACCTGCATCTGTTCAAGCCCCTTGTGCATATCCACACAGGTCATATCTGTGTCACCCGCCTAAAGCTCATCAGCCTATGGTCATCCTGCTTCAGGCCTGCCACCAGCTTTCCTCTGTGCTGAGAACAAGGCTGAGCCCCACAGGCACCCTGTGCCTCTGCAATCCCTTGCCTGTGACCATAGCTGGAACCAGGGACCTGGGCTCTAGGGAGTGACCTCTCAGCCTCTGCCTTTGGCCCTCATCCCTCTTCATGACCTCCTCACCACTACCCTCCCAATTAGTGAAGGGCTTACACTCCAGTGTTTGTGCCTGAAATGTATCCCAAGAGTCTGGTTCACCCAGGAGGAGAGGGCTGGATGCAGTGACAGCCATGTAAACGCACTTGCAGGCCACTGACTAGTCGCTTGTGGACTCCGGGTACGTGGGGGTGAAGAGGGAGTCCCAGAGGGCTCCTAACCCCTCAGCGTTCAGGAGGGATGAGCTCAAGTTAGGCGTTCTGGGGCTACGTGCACAAGCCCAACTGGTAGGAGCCCGGTGACACAGAGCTCTAGGAGACAGTGGGCCGCATGGCCCCACATGGGACCGGAGCCACAGCAGGGAAAGCTCTGTTGCCTTATGCCTGGACTCACTGAGGCCCACCCAGCAAGGACCATGGGTAGTCACAGCCACATTCCCCTGTGGCCCACACCCAGGACTACCTGCCTCTCCACCTCAAGGAACAGGAAGACCCCACATGGGAGAAGCCATGGACAATGAGAACTGTGGGAATCCAGGGCCCCCAGTACCCACAACAGGAGGTGCTACTGGGAAGGACACATCTGACATTGGAAGCTTTATTTTTGAACCTCACACGGACACAGAGGACAGAGGGCTGGACGCAGAGGCTGAAGGAGGCTTGTGCACGTGAGCTTGACAGTCCTGCTCCAAGGGGCAAACCTTCGGGCTGTTGTCCATTGGTCCGTCCCTCCAGCTGCACCCAGTGACCACATGCACCTGGCCCAAGGCATGGCCAGGCCACTCTGGGCTGCAGATCCACCCAAGAGCCTTTGACAAATGAGGGTTTACATTTCTGTAGGTCATTTTGGAACTTAGTTTTCTAGGTATTAAAACCACTTGGATTTTTTAAGTACCTGGTGAAGTCATCAGGTAAATTAAAGGACTTTTGAAAAAAGATTCCCATTTCTGATTTCGCGTAATATCTGACAGATGCCATCAAGAATAAGCATTAAGGTATAAAAATACTATATATATATGTATATATAAAACAGCAACAAAACTAAACCACACTTTTAGAGTAGATGTGCTGTGCCAGAGAACACCACATAGTTTAAATGCATTTATGATCCTGGCATCACTTCCCAAACTTCAAGGAAAAAAATATTTTAAATAATTTAAATAAAAGTCACAGGATATTTACTGTTTAGGAATTTAAAAGGGTGGAACAGGGGCGCCTGGGTGGCGCAGTCGGTTAAGCGTCCGACTTCAGCCAGGTCACGATCTCGCGGTCTGTGAGTTCGAGCCCTGCGTCAGGCTCTGGGCTGATGGCTCGGAGCCTGGAGCCTGCTTCCAATTCTGTGTCTCCCTCTCTCTGCCCCTCCCCCGTTCATGCTCTGTCTCTGTCCCAAAAATAAATAAAAAAACATTGAAAAAAAATTAAAAAAAAAAAAAGGGTGGAACATTCCAACACTTTACCAGCACATCTGGTTGTGGTCTTGTGTGTGAATGTCCTTCCCTGAAGTCAGCTCACGGTCTGTTCTTTTGGTTTCAAGAGGAGCTTGGATTTTTCAGAAGACCAACAAAAAAAGTGGTAAGGGTTTTTGTTGGTATCAATTACCAACAAAATAAAACAAGGCCTCCTAAGACCACTAGTAAAAATGTTTCAATGCCATCACAAAAGACAATACAAAAACCAAAGTGCTCAAATCGAAGGAGCAGTAAACTTGCCCAGAACATATAAAAGCTTTAAATAGAAGTTTAGTATATACAAAAATCGGTCAGAAGAATTTGAGAAGATTCTTCAGTTTACGTGGAGATCTTGCAGAGAAGTGCCCGGGAGCCCTGCCCTCAGCACCCCCAGGACCCCCATTTCCCTCATCCTCTTGGAGCCTCAGACACAGCACTGAGGCTCATGGAGGCACCAAGGCAAGAAGGGAGGTGTCCGTTTAGGTGAAGTTTTCAAAGAGGAGTACTCCTCAACGAAGGCGTCTTTCTGTCCTTTCAAAGTTGCCACTAAGGACCAAAGCTGCAGGTGACCATGCTTCACATGCCAGCTCAAGTGCGGCGTCTTCAGGTTTCTGACCGTGGCAATGAGTGTGCCATGCGTGCAGGACTGTGCCCTGGGAGCCTGAAGGCTGTATAGCTGCACATGAACTCAAACACGGGGCTGCTCCGGGACAACCTACATCCGCGGCGCCCCCCCCCCCCCCCCCCACGCCAGCTCAGGAAGCAGCAGCCTGCTGGAGCACCTGTACACGCAGAGGCCTACACGGCTGTACAGAGATCTGCCTCCGATACTTGGAGACATGCGTATACACTAGCTCGCACTCCAGTGCCCTCACCCACAGCAAGGCAGCGCCATTTCCCCACGTTCCAAGGCTTAACCCGAGAGATGGTGCCAAAAGGGAAACTAGGTGAGCAGCTGTGCCAAAACCACCCAGGGGGGCCATGGGCTCTGGGGCTCAGGAGGGCTGGAAGGAGGAAAGGGACCTCCCACTGGACTGGAAGCCGTTCTCAGCCTTCCCAGCCAGCTCACATTTGCCACGGGGCTGACCTTGTCTTTCAGACATGGGCCCGGCAGGGAAACCTCTGGGCATGCTGCCCTTCTCTCTCCCTGCCTCCCTGGGCCCTCTCTTCCTGCCCCCACCCCCAGCAATGGGGGCTCAGGGGTCTCCAGCTACACTGGAGGCCCCACCAGACCCCTGGAGCAGCTGGCCAGGCCTAGCAGCTGGAGTCAGGCTCAAACACTGAAAAACAGAACTTATTTGGGAATGATTTTTGACCTCCATGCTCTGAACATTGGCCAAAATTCTGCACAGTGCCCTCTCCCTGCAGAGGCACAGGTAGATGGTTGAGACACAGGACTTAGAAGACTGCCCAGATCCCTTCTGTATCAGTTCAAGGGACAGAACCAGTGGGGCACAGGAGACCCATATTCATTTACAAAGTTTAAATAGGTCTTAGAACTTTAACCTTTCCTGAAAAAAATGTTAAAACAATCTCCCAAATCTCAAGTTTGGAAGTTTATCCTGATCGTTCTGGCCTCTTTCATATGCAAAAGTAATTATTTTTCTTCAAGTACATCAGAGTAGAAAAGGAAATCCGATTTTACTCGGTCCAGTGTGTTAAACTCTAACTCTGTGGACCACCCACCCTCAGCAACTGATGCAGAAGCCCCACCGCCAGGGCCCTGCCGGACTGCAGCCTAAATAGCGTGCCCCTGCAGACCCCTGGAATAGTCTTTGCTAATGCTTGCTTTCTAGATAGGGAAGCTGTTGGCTTAAATAAACAAGATGTTCCATTAGGCATATTTGTCTATTTATAGCTTATCTAAAATGTAATCAGTGGTGTCTTCTGTTTTTGAGCAAAGCTTAAAAAAGAAAAAGGTCCCTTGGCATATAGATTCATTGGCTGCTTCTGGAAGATTCTTAAATGAGCACTATGCCTTAACAGTTCATCTGCAAGAGGAACAGTCCATTTGTAGTTTCACGAATTAGGGGAAAAAAGTGGGTTATAGTACCCTCATTCCAAAAGAGAGGAATGAACTTATTCTCTAAAAAGACCCTAACCCTGTAGTCCGCAGAAATTCAGTTTGGTTTTCTATCAAACGTGAAAGAGCACAACCAAACTCTATTGTAAAGGCATAGGTTAAAAGAAGGTATTAACTAGACGGGTAAGTCATCAGTTGGTTAATTCTCTGGAACTTGAGAAGAAAAGGTCATTGAAACATTTCGGAAACAGCCATGTACATGAACAGGACAGAGGCTGAGGGGACACCTTACCACCAGAACAGCTGGGAGAGGCCAGCCTACAAAGTTCAAAGTTCAAGAAATACTGTCATCCAGGATGCTCCTAGGTTTCCGTTACATTTACAGTTTCTTTCACAAAATAGGATTCAGAAGAGAACAAAGTTTTCACTTTACTCCCAACCATTGTCTTTGATCATGTGGGCAAGCTCAATAATAAATTTTCCTTCCTTATATTTCTGACTGCTCTCAAAGGCATGTTCCTTGAAAAAGAAAAAAAAAGTAGAAAGAAGGTCTCAGGGCAGAATCGATTTCACTTTGGCTTCACTGCACGCTTGGTAAAGAAAATAAGTGGATGGTATTAAATCTCCCCAGGTGATCTGTGTGCAGTACTGACCAGGGCTGGGGTGGGGGGGCAGGGTCTGTCTCGGTGACAAGCACACCTAGACCAGGACAGGCCACTCCTACTCGTTGTGAAGTTGCCGATAAACTCACAGGGAAAGGCTAATTCAAATTTGCTACCGAGCCTCTACCATGTGCGAGGCAGTCTGGGAGGCCGAGGAGCCAGAGCCTCCTTTGCAGGGACTTCGGGTAAGGGGCAAGTGAAGGCAACTATGCCAAGTGCCCTGGAGGTCATTCAAGACGTCGGAAGAAGAGAAGGCCCTTGGGTGGGCAGTGAGAGTGGAGCGGAACGGGCTGGGGGTGTGTGCAGGCCTCACCAAGCCCATCTCCATGTGTGATTGGGGAATGCAGAGAATAGGAACAATCGGGAATTACAGAAAGAGGGAGAGCAGCTGGCCCTGACCAAGATGACCAGAATCGCTGCAGAAGAGCACATCATGAAGGCAGGTGCCAGCCACACCCAGACACGCCTCTCAGATGCCAGAGCCCAGGGTGGACGTGCACTCAATGGCCAGGGGGCACCAGGTGTGCGGGCCAGAGGGACAAATCTGGGAGTTGAAAGGAGGGGTGGGGAAAACGGGAGCAGGGAGTGTGGGGGAGCAGAAGCTGCCCACAGGCCAAACCTCTGATGGGCAGGGGGAGGCCAGGCCTCAGTGGGCGCGGCGGAAACTTCTGAGCACCACAGACGGTTCTGCTTGACATCGCTACTGCTAAGTAATGTCAGCAGCCACCGCAGGCCTGGCCAGTCGGCGAGCATCCCCCAGACAGGTGGGACCCTCCCCTCATTCCAGGGGCCCCTCAGGGGCCTAGGTCTGCAGGGTGGGACTGTGAGGCATGGCTGTCACCCCTGCCCTGGGAGCGCAGGTGTGGGCAGGTGTGCCTATGTGATTACGTCTATCTTTAGTTGGCTCAGAATTTCTATTTTAAAACATGGATTGACACTTCCAGGGGGAGGGCTTACTCCTTCGCGACTTTTGTGTCTGTTAGTAATGTGTTTTATCTGGTAATCTGTGCAGTGTCCAAGAGGTTGGAATAGACAGTTACTTACATATTTCCACCCGAGCGTGGTTTTGCAGTTTTCACAGTAGATGTCTGCGACCGCGTGCAGGCCAGTAAGAAGGACCCTCTCCTCAGCGGGGCCACAGCCCACATTCACCCTACAGGGGAGGAGGCAGGAAATCGCTGAAGACCAGAGCATTTCCCCTGGCTCCCGCCTCAGGTGGTTATTTCTCCAGCTAGCTGGTTACCAAAGGCACCAGTGTTTCTTCTTAATGCCCCACCTTCCCGCCCCCTGCCCACCACCACCTTGTATGAGAAGGAACAACTGTTCATTTCCCCAGGAGAATTCCAAGATGGGCCAGGTTCCTAGGGAGGTGACAGTTCTGTGGTGCATAGCGCAGTAAAATTCAAACCCACCACAAATGGGGCACAGACCACACCACATGTGGGAGCTAGTTCCTCAGGTAAGAGCACACTCTTCCCTGAAACTCTGACTGAAGGGTACAATTCTTTAAGATCACTTAAAAACACTTGACCTGGGGTGCTTGAGTGGCTCAGTTGGTTAAGTGTCCAACTTTCGGTTTTGGCTCAGGTTATGATCCCAAGGTTGTGGGATCAAGCCCCATGACAGGCTCCGTGCTGAGTGTAGGGCCTGCTTAAGATTCTCTCTTCTCTCCCTCTCCCTGGCTCTTACGCACCCTCTCGCTCTCAAAATAAAAAAAAATAAAAAGGGGAGCCTGGATGGCTCAGTTGGTTAAGCATCCGACTTCGGCTCAGGTCATGATCTCCCAGTTCGTGAGTTCAAGCCCTGCGTTAGGCTCTGTGCTGACAGCTCAGAGCCTGGAGCCTGCCTCAGATTCTGTGTTTGCCTCTCTTTCCACCCCTCCCTCACTTGCACTCTCTTTCAAAATTAACATTAAAAAAATTTTTTTAATGAAAATAAAAATAGTTAAAAAAAAACTCTCTGGTCATTCTAGCCTTTGAGTAATTGTTTGCACGGATGTACAGAAGCAATAAATGTAACGTGACCATGAACACAGCAGGTCCACAGGCCAACGGCAGTGGTACTCACACAGAATTGAAGAGGTAGGCTCGTCCCTGACTTCCCTGAAAAGACTGCAAAGAAGAAAAAGCTGTCACATAGCTGTTGTGGTAAGATGAAAAGGGATGGTGAGTTTTGCATTTTGGAATAAAGGTGGAGACACTTTTTCAGGTCATGGCCTCAACGTGAGTGGAGGGCCAAGCTGAGGAACGGCTACCACAGGCCTCTGGGGCTCTGGACCCCACACAGGACCCGGGAGTCACAGTGCTCCCAGACCCTGGACAGACATTTCACCGGAGCAAGACCTGTGTGGTAAGCCACTGTGACTTGGGGGCTTTTTGTTACTGTGGTATAACCTACTTGAGGCTACCAGTGTTTTGACTGAGTTACATAGCTTTTAGGGGTGCCTGGGTGGCTGAGTCCGTTGGGCAACTGACTCTTGGTTTTGACACAGGTCATGATCTCACAGTTTGTGAGTTTGAGCTCTGCATGGGGGACAGGGAGAGGGGGTGGTGCTGTGCGTTGATAGCACGAAGCCTATTTGGGATTCTCTCTCTCCCTTTCTCTGTCCCTCCCCTACTTGCTCACATGTGTGTTCTCTCTCCCAAAATAAATAAACTTAAAAAAAAAAAAAAAGAAAGAAATATACAGCTTTCAGATTAAGAAGAGTTTTCAAGTGGTTTTCTAGAATAAGGAATATTACATCATGGCCAATTTAACAAATAATCATCTCATAGGCTTTCCTGCACATCCTTATCAGCCTTCAATTCGGTAGACCAATTTTCCTAATTCTCGCACCTACTCTGCAAATCCTTACTTGTTTAAACAGGGTTTGAATCAGTGATATGGTCCGATCTGAGGTTCGGGTTTAGATAGAAGTCAGACTAGAGTGCGGGCCTACAAACTTCCGTAAACGAGGCCAGCTGATAAATATTTTAGGCTTTGGGGGCCACGCAACCTCTGTTGCAACTACTCTGGCATGATACATAAATAGACGAACATGGCTGTGATCCAATAATACTTCACAGAAAACAGGTGGTGTGCCAGATGTGGGCCACAGTTAAATCAGAGCCTTCTAACAACTAGACCTGCCTGTACCAGGAATAGCTCCCCTGGACCAAGGCATTGCTTACTAGTGACAAAGATGGCCCCAGAGGCTCGTGAACACCTGTCAAGACAATAATTCTGTCCTCATATGAACTGGATTCTGCTCTACATGGTAACTTACGGACTAACAATGTATGGAAGGAAAAGCAGCAGTTTCCTGTATCACCAGCTGAAATGCAAGGTCTGATGCAGACTGTGTGCTTGGTGCATTTAGGTTCTCAGCATGACTTTCATCCTGAGATACTCAGTTAAGGTCACGGCTGTTTCCACCTAGCAGGTCTCTACTTTCAATGTAATTTAAAAAACAGTCTTTCGGGCTTGTTGAAAGAAGCATCCCAAATTCCTTTTGGCCCACCCCATGATGGAGCCTCCAGCATGCTTCAGAACCAACACCGTGATGATGCCAACAAACACCTATGCCTTCTGAGATGGCATGGCTCAGGGAGGTCACCAAGCCACACAGCCCCATCTGACGGTCACAGAGTGGCTCTGGCTTCCACAAACTCAGACACTGTGACACACACGGAGCCTGCCTTGGAAGGCACCCAAGAAACCAGGAACCGAGGCCCTCGCATTTCTGACTTGAATCTTCTGAATGGACAAAGGAGCCACAGCAGCAAGAGCACAGGAACTCTCTGCCTCGTTTCACGGTGTTTATTTTAGATGATAAACAGAAATGAGACAACCATTCATTATCACCTAGCTAAAACACAAGTAGGCAAGCGATCTTCCTACTGACTAAAGTGTGAAGCTTAAGCAGGGATTCCTGAAAGGCCCAACTTCCTGACTTTGTTTTTGAAGGAGCATGAGGTTCACGTAGCCCAAGAAGGCAAACCTGTGAGGATGGGGGGATGTGGTGGTGACCCGCAAGGATGGGCAGGAGAGAACGGTCACAACTTCCCACCTACTACATTTGAATCGTTTTACGTGTTCACAAGTGGTTGATTATAGACCTCAGATGCTGCTAAAAAAGGGTCCAACTTAATAATAAGGAATTGGGCTGTTCTTTTCTCATCTACCAGGCTGCTCCCGGTCCTACACAGAGTGCCCAGGGCAGCTGCTGTGGCCCTGTTCAGAGTGTCCGTCCTGACGATTTTTCTAAAAGATCCTCTCTTCGGGGCGCCCGGGTGGCTCAGTTGGTTAAACGTCCAACTCTTGATTTCGGCTTAGGTCATGATCTCACAGTTTTGCGTAATCTGTGCTTATAGCACGATAGCACTTACAGCATGATCTGCACTTACATCACAGAACCTGCTTGGCATTCTCGCTCTCAAAATAAATAAAACATTAAAAAAAAAAAATCCTCTTTCCCCCATTCCTCTATGATAGGCTGTTTTCTCCTTAAGCATTCTGAGTTTTTAAAATTTCTTAATTCCCTTATTATTAAACTCTTCCCACAGATTTGCTAGACTTCCCTTTTTCCTTTGATGTGTTTTGGTTTTACATTAACTTTACTGCTCTGACAAACTAACCTACTCCTCTTGCTTTTTGTGATTTTCTATCCCTCCAAAACCCACCCACTGCACAAACACCACGACCAACACACTAAGCACACCAACATCACAGTGCAGTCACACTCCACCATGCACGAAACTTTCATCAATGCTGCCCAGGAGTCTCTACCCTTCCAGGACACAACAGACCCACAAAGTCACATGATGGTTAAATGTTTGTCTATGAATGAGACATCTGATCATCCTCAGGGGGATCTCATCATTTTCTGGGCACAAACCACTTGCCTTAGAGATCAGCTCATCATGATTGGCCAGGTGGGCTCTGCAGTGGACACAGCTGTACGTTCGGTGACAGTTTGGCAGATAAGCTTGGAAAGTTTTGGATTTTGTCATCTTCACCATCTCGGCAGGGCACTCCTCGCTCAGCTCAGGGCTGGCACCGGAAGAACCGCGGCTCTGCTGGGCTCTCTGACAAAAGAGACACTGAAATATGCATGCAAGAGCCGTTGTTGTTCGGAGGGCGTGTGGCACTGTCCACACAGCTGGGATGAGAGAAAAATGTCACAACCTGTCAATGAATCAAGACAAAGTAGTGGGTTATGGAGGGAACAAAATACGTCAAGGAGGCACGTTCAGGAGGTATGTGTTTTGAGGAATAGGGTGGGGGGGCCAGAACTGGAAGATCTAATTCTTTAATATTATACATAAAGAATACTAATACCTCGGGGCACCTAGGTGGCTCGGTCAGTTAAGCTTCTGACTTCGGCTTAGGTCATGATCTCATGGTTTGTGGGTTCAAGTCCCATGTCAGGCTCTATGCTAACAGCTCAGAGCCTGGAGCCTGCTTTAGATTCTATATCTCCCTCTCTCTGCCCTTCCTCTGCTCATGCTCTGTCTCAAAATGAATAAAAATTAAAAAAAAAATTACATGAGTCCAGAAATAAACCCTTGTGTAGGGTCAAATGATTTTAAACAAGGGTGCTATGATTCATTAGGGAAAGGGCAGTTTTTTCAGCAAGTGGTTCTGGGAAAACTAGATACTCACATGCAAAAGAATGAAGTTAGACCCTTATTTAACACCGCATACAAAAACTGACTCAAAAAATGGATGCCTGGGTGGCATAGTCGGTTAAGTGTCTTTGGTTTGGGTCATGATCTTATGGTTCTCGAGTTTAAGGCCTGCATTGGGCTCCCTGCTGTCAGCATGGGGCCCACTTCAAATCCTCTGTCACCACCCCCGCACACACACATCTCCCCTACTTGCTGCTTCTCAAAACAACAGTGAAAAAAATTAACTCAAGATGGATCAAAGACCTAAATGTATGAATGGAAACTATAAAACTCCTAGAAGAAAATATAGGGGAAAACGCTTACAATATTGATGTGGCTTGATTTCTTGAAAAGGACAGTAAAAGCTCAGAAAAATATTTAGATTTATAGAAGGTAAAGTGGGATAAAAATGGGGCAGAGCACCTGTAGAACACCAAGAAAAGGAAATAAAGGTCTTAGAAGTATCCAGAAGGAGAGGGAAAACTACCTTTCAACAGAACAACTTCCCAAGTAAAATAACAGAATCCAGAGGGTAGTCAGGAAAGGTAACTTTAAGGTCCTGAAAGATAATATCTGGCTATTCCAGAGTTCTATATCCAGTGAAAATATCTTTCAAGAATTCCAGAATGACATTTTCAGAAAACTATAAAGGTTGACTTCAGCAAAATACCACTAAAGGAAGTACAAGGATGTGTGTGCTTCAGACAGAAGAAAAACATTACTACCTAAACGTCAGAGTCTAAAAAAAGGAATGGTGAATAAAGAAGATGGTAAATAGGTGAGTAAAAGAACAGCAGTGTTGTTTTGTACAGCTTTAAAAAGATAGGACGGTAGGTGCGCCTGGGTGACTCAGTCGGCTGAGCATCCAACTCTTGATTTCAGCTTAAGTCATAATCTCAGTTGTAGGATCAAGCCCCAAATCAAGCTAAATGGTAGTTTAAGGTTTCAGACTGGATAGAAGACAAAATTCATCTAAGATGCAATTTACAAGAGACATATATTTTTTTAAGTTATTTATTTATTTTGAAAGAGAGTGCAAGTGGGGGAGGGGCAGAGAAAGAGAGAGACACAGAGAGAGACTCAGAATCCGAAGCAGGCTCCAGGCTCAGAGCTGTCAGCACAGAGCCTGACGTGGGGCTCGAACTCACAAACTGTGAGATCATGACCCGAGCTGAAGTCAGACGCTTAACTGACTGAGCCACCCTGGCGCCCCTACAAGAGACATATCTTAAACATAAGGACACAGAATGGTTGAAAGATGAAGCTAGAACCTGGGTGATGGCAACACAGACATACAGTTTATAATTATTTGCTAACAATATATTTGTTTTATGTATTAAAAAAAATTTTTTTTAATGTTTAGAGAGAGAGAGGGAGACAGAGAGACAGAGCATGAGTGGGTGAGGGGCAGAGAAAGGAAGACACAGAATCCAAAGCAGGCTCAAGGCTCCGAACTGCCAGCACAAAGCCTGACACGGGGCTCGAACCCATGAACTGTGAGATAATGACCTGAGCGAAGTCAGGTCCTTAAGCCACCCATGTGCCCCTGTTTTGTGTATTTATTATATGCATGTGATTCACAATAAAGTAGCTAAAACAGCAAAAGGACAGGGCACCTGGCTGACTCAGTCTGTAGAGCATGCAACTCTTGATCTTAGGGTTGTGGGATCCAGCCCTGTGTTGGGTGTAGAGATTACTTAAAAAAAAAAATAAATAAAGCAGTAAAACCTGAAATCATTGTTGCACTATATGCCAACTAACTTGGATGTAAATTTAAAAAATAAAAATTAAAAAAAAGTGTAAATCTGACTACTTAATAACATAGCCTCAAAATATATAAATCAAACATTTATAGAACCGTAAGGAGAAACAGATAAATCTTTAATCACAGTAGGATTACTGATTATAGTATATAAAGCATAAACATGGTATACTTATTACATATGTATAGTACACTTAATATACAGCATATATAGTATAAATATACTATTTTATTCTTTTCAGTGACTGGCAGAGCAAACACAAATGAATACAGACACAGAAGATGTGCATGATGTGATGGACCAACTAGACATAAAAGACATGGAGAAAACTGTATCTAAGAACTTCAGAATCCACATTCATTTAAAGCACACAAACATTCAGAAAAGCCAAACACACAAGTCTCAACCAACTTCCAAGGATTGAAAACACAATATATTCTCTGACCACAAAACACTAAATTTAGATATCAATAAGAAAATACCACAAGAGAAAATTTTCATATGCTTAGAAATTCAGAAATGTACTACTTTCTACACAAATAAATGGAAAGATATTCTGTGCTCATGGACTGGAAGAATATTGTTAAAATGCTCATACTACCCAAAGCAATCCATAGATTCAATGCAATCCCAAACAAAATACCAATGGCATTTTTCAGAGAACTAGAACAAAGAATCCTAAAATTTGTATAAAACCACAAAAGATCCCGAACAGCCAAAGCAATCTTGAAAAAGAAGAACAAAGTTGGAGGATCACAGTCCTTAATTTCAAACTATACTACAAATGAACAGTAATCAAAACAGTATGGTACTGGCACAAAAACAGACACATAGGGGTGCCTGGGTGGCTCAGTCGGTTTAGCTTCCCACTTCAGTTCAGGTGTGATATCGCAGTTCATGAGTTCGAGCCCCACGTTGGGCTCTGTGCTGACAGCTCAGAGCCTGGAGCCTGCTTCAGATTCTGTATCTCCCTCTCTCCCTGCCCCTCCCCTGCTCACATTCTCTCTCTCAAAAATGAACATTAAAAAGATTAAATTTAAAAATATAGATTAAAAAATACAAAAAATAAATAAATAAAAACAGACACACAGATCAATGGAATGAATCAAGAGCCCAGAAAAAAACCTCACACACACAGTCAATTAATTTATGACAAGGGAGGCAAGAATATACAATAAATGGTCTTTGGGAAAACTGTAGGCAGCTACATGCAAAAAAATGAAACTGGATCACTGTCTTACATCATACACAAAAATAAATTCAAAATGGATTAAAGACTTGAATGTAAGACCAGAAAACAACAGACTCTTCGAAGAAACCAGGGACAGTAAGCTTTTTAACATCATTCTTAGCAAAATGTATTTTGGACCAGTCTCCTTAGGCAAGGGCAATAAAAGCTAAAATAAACAAATAGGATTACATCAAACTGGAAAGCTTTTCCACAGCAAAGGAAACCATCAACAAAAGGCCACCCAGGCAATGGGAGAAGATATCTACAAATCATACATCTGATAAAGGGTTAATAACCAAAATATATAAAGGACTTACACAACTTAAAAATAAACAACCTGATTAAAAATGGGCAGGAGAGGGGGGCGCCTTGGTGGCTCAGTCAGTTAAACATCCGACTTCGGCTCAGGTCATGATCTCATTGTAAGTTTGAGCCCTGCATCAGGCTCTGTGCTGACAGCTCAGAGCCTGGCCTGCTTCAGGTTCTGTGTCTCTCTCTCTGTACCTCCCCTGCTCATGCTCTGTCACTCTGTCTCTCTCTCAAAAAAGAAATAAACATTTAAAAAATTAAAAAAAAAATGGGCAAAGAGGGCACTTGGCTGGCTCAGTCGGTGGAGCATGCAACTCTTCATCTCAGGGTCATGAGTTTGAGTCCCATGCTGATTATGGAGCCTACTTAAAAAAATGGGCAGAGGACGTTAATAGACATTCTTCAAAAGAAGACATACAAATGGCCACCAGACACGTGAAAAGCTACTCAACATCACTCACTCATCATCAGGGAAATACAAATCAAAACTATAAGAAGCTATCACCTCACCCCTGTCAGACTGGCTATTATCAACAAGACAAAAAATTAACAAGTGTTGGTGAGGATGTGGAGTAAAGGGAAGCAATGGAAGCAGCCCAATTGTCCATCGATAGATGAATGGATAAAGAAGATGTGGTGTATATACACAATGGAATACTACACAGCCATAAAAAGAATAAAATCTTACCATCTCACCATGAAATCTTACATGGATCAACATCAACAGTACTACACTAGGTGAAATAAGTCAGACAGAGAAAGACCAATACCATACAATCTCACTTATATCTAAACAAAAAAAACAAAAGAAAAAACAAAAACAGACTCACAGATCCAGAAAACAAATGGTTGGTTACCAGAGGGGGCAGGCATTGGGGGAATGGGCAAAACAGGTCAAGGGGATTAAGAGGTGGAACCTCCACTTAGAAAATAAAGATGTCATGGGGATGTAATGTACAGATAGAGAATATAGTCAGTAATTCTGTAATAACTTTGAATGGGGACAGAGGATAGCTAGATTTATGGTGGGGATCATTTCATAATATATAAAATTATCCAGTCCATGTGATTTACACCTGAAGCCACTAAGATATTTATTGTATGTCAATTATACTGATTTTTTTTAAAGTATAATCCAAAGAGAAAAAAAAGGAACATATTTCTTTATACCCATGGGTCTAAGGACAATGAAAATTAGAAGATATTTTGAATTAA